GCTCCAGACCTGCCCGAGTCTCATCTGGGACTAAACCCCACATTGCTCCCTCGCATCCTGTCTGCTTTAGCTGCGGGGAAAGGATCTGAGCTACTCCTGAAGCCAAAGGGTCTTTAAATGACAGAAACCCCTGGCTACAAAAAGTCAAAAAATACAGAGGAAAAGCACAAAAGGGCAGAGCAGCTAAAGCCCAGAGGAGCTGAAGATGTCCTTCAGCAAAGCAGAAGCCCTTGGTGTCCCTCCTGTCTGCATTTCCTTCCGAGACCGGAGGTGCAGTGAGCACTTTCACGCTGTGATGCTCTAAGCTGTGGGGCTGGGAGGGGGAGCATTGCCTTGTCAGGGGCAGCGTTGGGAGGGCTTCCACTTCTCTTTAATGGCAGAATTCCTTTGTTTCCTGCTCATCAGTTCAAATGTTGAATTGTCAAAACAAGTCATTACAAAAGGGAATTAAACAGCTCCTTTCATTTTCCACAATACTTGTTTTATTCCCAAGAAACCTTTTTGGCCGCACTGTAATTTAATGGGCATAAGACAAATGTACTGATTAACGAACTCTTTCTAAATTTACTCACTTAGTGTAACAAAAGGGAGCTTTACCTTGCAATGATGGGATTTGAATGACAGGTGCTTTTGAGGGGCAGGTCAGGATATGAGGCCAAATAAGGACCCATCCTGGGGAAACATGTTGGTCTGTTCCTCTACACCTCTCCAGCTGTTCATGCATGTGAGGCAGAGCACTGAACTGGAGAAAGAGGTTCAGGCCTCTAAAATACACTTGGTGCCGTTCAGTACAAGGCAGTCTTTCTCCCAGCGTGCTCAGTCTGGTTGTGGCAACAGCAGAGTTGTGTGTCCTGTGAGTCATAGAATCATTATGGTTGGAAGAGACCTCAAAGATCATCAAGTCTAACCTTCTACCCAATGCCACCATGCCCACTAAACCATGTATCGAAGCACCACATCTAAACGTTTTTTGAACACCTCCAGGGATGGTGAGTCCACCACCTCCTTGGGGAGCCTGTTCCAAGAGTCTGAGGTCATGGTACAAGAGGAAAGTTTCATGTGTGTTATTTTCTGCTGTGATCTTTTGAAGGCTATGGCTATTTTCAGACCTCATCCTGTGATGCTCGACGGGGGCTGCAGGCATAGATTCGAGTGTTTTCTGGACCATGAGCAATGGTGCTCAGCTAATGCTGCTGGAAAAGCAACAAGGTGGTGAACGCGTTTCCTAGCATTTTTCTTTCTCTGCTTTTGCAGAGGAAGGGCACAACCCCCAAGCCAAAGTTTGAAGTCCCCGATGTTTTTGAGTGAATTTGGTCTTTGGGTTTCAGTATAGCACCCGTGTCCTAGCCCATGAATGGTGGCTAGTGGCTACCTTCATGGCTGGCTAATGGAGATTGGCTAACTGCTTATTCTGCAATGAGATGTCTTCCATGTCACAGCAAGGGAAAACCCTGAGTCATGGTGACGCCTGATTCAGCTGTGGTGTCTGGACTGGATGAATCACCTGATCGGCTTCACGTACTTGTAAAGAGGGGGGGCAAAATCCAAGGAGCTGCCACTAAAACCAGTTCATTCAGGCCTGCAGCCAACATTCCAGATGTCCTGAATCTTCCAGGACATGTGGCAGAAAGGGAAAAAAAAAAACCAGCTCTTTAACACTTAATTCACAGAAATTTTTATGCTTTTTCTTATCCTTGCTGCCATAGCTTATGAGAGTATGAAGGCACTCTAGGGATGCAGGCAAAGATTTAAGACATAATCCCTTCAATTTCAGACACTTTAAAAATATGAATGCACCACAAGAGTAACTGCCTCTCCCAGGTCCAAGAAATGTTGGTAGTATGTGAAAGGGAAGGTCAGAAAGGACAAAAGAAGCCTCAATCCTGCTCTCTAGCAAATTCAACAGCAAAACTCCTATCGACTGTGCTGAAATTGGGACCTTGAAGAAAGTGTCTTATGCTGAAGTGCTCTGAGGATATTTTAAAACCAGATTAATAAATAATTGGACCATCTGCATCAGAGTCTGTAAGTGGAGTGACACACGGAGAGTGTCTGTAAATGGAACAGCTTCAAATATGCAGAGTAAAATACACAGTGGAATGGATTTTTTTCTGTAATAGACATAATTATTGCCAATTCGGGTCTCTATTGCAAGCACAATGAGAGGCACTGCCTGAGAGATGGGCTAATTTCTCCTAAGAACTGAACAGACAAATAGTAAAAGATTGTTCCTGCTCTACAGGGGGGACCATCATATTAATAAGACAGACCAGGGTCAGGAGCAATACCAAGGAAATGGCTTGCCCAAGGGCATGCAGCAGATCAGCTTCCCATTTCCTAGAGTTCAGCTGGTCTCCTTTGATTATTGACAGAAGGTGATATTGTCTCTAAAGCCACCAATATCTGTTGCATCTCCTCCCATCACTACTAGGCACTGTCTGCCCTGGACTGGACAATTGTGTTTTAATTACTATTCCTCTTGGGGTTGCAACAGTGGTTGGAGCTAATGTTTCACAGCAACAGTCCTCATAAGAACAGGGCCAGACCAAAAGTTCATTGAAAGAGGACACTTTTGAATCACTGAGTTTAATAACTCCTAATCCTTCTTTCAGGCGTTTCATTCTTTTTCCTCCTGCAACATCCCAAAGACATGAGCTGCCCAGCTACTGCATTGTTCTTCCTTTTGCTGCCTTTTGACCTGTTATCTGGTAACTGGGCACCCTTTGGCTCTTGCATTGGAAGAAGTAGGGAATACTTCCTTGTTCTTATACTCCACTCCATTCTGGATTTTATAGCTTTCTACCCTATAGTCCCCACTACCATTCCTTTGCCAAGACAAGGTGAGCTAGTTATTTAGCTTCTTCCTTTCTAGAAACACAGCAAAAGAAAGTGGTGTATTTTTTTTTGGGGGGGAGGAGGGGAATGGATGTTTCATTTGCATAACCTATAGACAGTAGCAACATCAGACTTTTTAAAAACCTGAAGTGGAGAGGAACATTGAGAAAGGCACTGACAGCAAGAGAAACACTTGAGAGACTCTGAGGGTGGGCTTTATCACATCTAATGTGCAGTGCTCCCATGCAGACATCTCTATCTGAGGTTGTCTCCTTGGGATTCTGGTTTAGGGGTGAGTCAAGACAGCTGAGAGAGGGCTGGGTTTGTTTGGCTTATTTTGGGTGAGATGAGGTGAGATGATGCCTGTCCTACAGCCCACTGTCTCTAATGGAGGCTGAGGCAGATGTGGACACCTGCTTTTTGATGTGATGTCACCAATCTTAAGTAAGAGTCTAAGGCTGGGAGCTGTAGCAGTAACCATTAACCAGTCACAGTCGATGAGCTAGTCTTGACACTTCCTTGCTGTGCCATACCCATTATTAATCCATAGGGATAGTGCCTGGTTTCTAGATGTTTCTGGAGGTATATGGGGTGCGGTGTGCTCACCTTCCTCTGTGCACCTGGAAATTTCCCTTCTCTGATTTTAATGGCAGAAATTATGTCTCAAGAAATCTGAGATGTGATATTTTTAGGCTTTTTCCTGCACAATCAGGCTGACTAGAATTTAAATTTTCTATAAATGCAAAAATATTTTTGATCAGTTGACATCTCATTTACACTAATCGTCTTTGAATATAATTAGCTTTTATAGGGATAACTTTCCTCATTTTTAAATTGTAGTTGAAATTGCATTATATGTATATAAAGGGGGAGACAGACTTTCTGTTTCAGTTGATTTAAATATATCTTTACTGTGAATAACGCCCATTATATTTTTTTGAGAACAAAGAAGAAAAATAATCTATATCTTACTTCATTTCTTTTGGTCTTCTCATGAGCAAAAGAAAACAGCAGCATTAGCATGAAACAGATGCTAAATATATTAAATCCATGCCAAAGACCCAGAAAAATGTCTTTTCTCATGGTAGCAATGGAGTCTATCTCTAGTGATAAAACTATAAAGGAGTAGAGCATCCCCTTGAAAAAAGGGAAGGTCCCACCTGGCTGGTAGAACAGATACTGCTGCCAGGAACAGCCAGCCCCTGACTTCAGACACTTGCCAATGTACGACCCAAAGAGCGGGACAATGCCAGGACTGTACCCATGAGCGGACAACTGCAGGGGTGCCAGGAGACACAAACCACACAAAACCTGCAGCACCTCTCTCCAGGCACTGCTCTGTAATCAAGGCAAGGCCATGACTGAGGACCTCACCAGAGCAAGCAGTTACAGATGATGGGAACTAAAAATGTGGGAGAGCATGGAGAAGTGAAAATAGCAGGTGTTGCCATGTGGATCCCATCCTTTCACTTTCCTCTGCTTTCCCTAATGTGGTTGTGAGTGTCCAAGAAAATGCATGAAAAGAGATGAACAAAAAGGGTTATTTTGGTCAGGACGGACCTGACATACATCCACACTGCACCCTCAGGATAACCCGCGTTCCCTGCTCTCATTTAAAGCAGTCTAAGGCCAGTCCTTCCTGGCATCAGTGGGTGCTTGACCACATCTCTACGCTCAGGCCCATCAGCCCTCACCATGCAAGAGCCTCTGGTGGAGTCTTCAGTCATAACCTGTACCCAGACCCTTCACCCGATGGGATGGCAACATTTCTGAAACTCGTGGCTGCCTTTTATGCTCCATGGTCTTATGGGTAAGAAGATGGTTTTCATAAGCAACTTTTACCCCAGACTGCCTGACCATCCCCTTCTGAAATTCCTGACTGTGGGATAGGGCAAGGTGGCCATCACAGCCTCTGTGGGAGATCTGGGACAGGAAGCATGGATGGCAGCTCTGGATTGTCACTGCTGGTAGGTTTGATAATGGTTTAATCCTTGTGCAATGCCTCCTCTCTGCATCCAGTCATTCAATGAATGTAAAGCAGAAATAAAAGAATTGCCTCATTAAAATCTGGTCACAGCACTGAAGATAACACCCCTGTCTTTGTCAGATATGAAGTCATGCAAGCCCCAGCAAGGAAAGGAAATCATAGAGGGAGTAAAATGTACCTCCTGTCCCTCAGACACCTGCCGCTCCTTTGCGGTCCCATCAATGGCTGCCGTCAGCACGTAACATCTCTGGCAGTAATGAATGACTGACAGCGCTGCACGAATCCCTGCTGGAGAGCTGTCAGTCAGGGGCTCCCGGGAGGAAACGCAAGAGGAACCTGATTGAAGAAATAACCCCCAATGCAGATCTCCGGTGACTCCCCTCCCCACCCTCATCACCAGATCCAGGTGCACTCTGAGGACTGATGTCTCCGAGTTGTGCAAATGCAGCCATGGCTCCTTCTCTCCCTGCTCAGCACAGACACCTTCACCCTTTGGGGTTTAACACCCTTAACTCTTGGTTGAAGGCTTGTCCCCTTGCTCCTGGCCTCTCCTTGAGCATGGCCCAAGCCGGAGAGCCATCTACTACCTGTTCCCCTTTCACCAAAACTCCTGACTCCCCCAAAGGCCCCCTGACTCCATCCCAGCCCCGCTAACCCTGAGCTGTGAGCACATCCCGGCATCTCACTCCTTCGAAACCACCCCATCCAGGGCTCAGGACAAGAAACAATGTTCAGCTCTTCTCCTGGCAGGACCACTCCACATTGGCATTTGCTGACCAGGATTTAGACTGGTGAGCTAGAAAGGAAAAAACCCATTATTTTTCCTGATTCCACTCCCCTGGAGCTCACAGATGCTATGAACGCTCTGGGTTTTCAGAAGGAAGCAACATCTGACTGCTCTGCGGACAAACTCCTGGAGAAGTCAAGTAGCAGTTAATTTTCAGATTTGAAGAAAAGGAAGGGACACAATAGAAATCTAGATCTTAGAAAAACCTGTTCAAAGAGCCTCCGAAAAGGCCTTCTCCCCCAAGATTTAGCGCCAAAAAAAAAAAGCTTTTAAATGCACTGCACTCTAGAGATGTGCCCTGGGCAGCATTGTTAGAAAAAGTGGAAGGTTGGAGCTGATCCGAACCAAAGTGGCACAAAAGCTGCTGAGTTCAAGTCTGAAACCCTCCCTGGAGGGCTGCCCACATTAAATCTGTCTGACTCTCTCGCTTCAGCCTCTTGCTAGGGATGGGAGCTGAAAGCAAAGGTCTGATCCACAGCAAATGCCTCCCTCGTGGCAGCTGTGGGGGTTTGATTTAACAGGGGGGTTGCAGGCAGGTGCAGACATCTCCAGCCTGGTATTTGGCAGCTGGGTCACAGCTGCCCATGGAGGTTGGCCCAGCACTGCCCTGGGATGTCTCCTCCTGCACCGCTATGTGTGAGGACACGGCTGGGGACCGGGATGGAGAGGTGATGCTCCCACTGCTGGATGGGGTTGCCTTTGGGGGTACAAGCTGGTTGTCTACAAGCTTCTCCAGAGACACCTCCTCGTGTTTCCACAATGAGCAGTTGGTTGCTTTCAAACCACCCTGCAGTGGTGCTGATTCAACACCAAGGAGCTCTGGTACCCTGGGTACTGAGGGTGCACGCCTCTCGGCACAGCTCCCAGGCAGGGGGGGCTCAGGAGAGCAGGTTACTCAGATTGTTCCTTTTTCCCTCAAATTTACACACTGTAATGATGGTTTCAGGTTGGCTCTGAGTGATTCACCAAGATCCCACAGGAGGTCTGTGGCAAAATTTGGTTTCTACCCCATTTCCTCTTTAAATGAGAACCCTAAATGACTTCTTATTTCTCCTGAGCAACATGTAGATTTTGGTGCAGGCCAAGCAATAGATTTTGAGACAACTTCAGAGAAGAATAACTGTTAACATAGGACTCTCACCTGCAAAACTGACCATTGCAGGGCCATGAGTAAGGAAAATAATTTAAAATCAATTTTTTGTGTGCGCCACAAACTGGATTCAGTCTGTGGTAATGGGACCAGGATGCAGAGCATGCAAATGAGATCATTAGTCCTCACACGAAGCAGGGGTTGTATGACGCTCCAGACGCTGGAGCTGAAATGTTGCAGACCTCTAGTCATGGGTTGGCTTTCAATCTTGGCAGGTTTTCATCAGCCCCAATGTCAGCTAGACAACTTGACAAGCCACTCACGGCAGCATCCCCTGGTCACAAAATGGCTCACAAAAGTGTCCAGACACAAGTGCCTTAGACTGCAGCATCTTTTCGGTCGATTGGCAAAAAGAGAACATACACTTGGTGGAAAATACGGTGTACTGTGACTGTAAATACTATGTGAATTATTAATTTGCTGTTTACTAACTTCAATATTTTTCTATTCAATTATTCTCTGCAAAGGACTGCTCTGATTTTTAAATAATACAAAAATTATTTTTTGTACATATTTACAGGAAGAATTTTTGCACATCTTTTTCCTTGAATAGATTTTGAGTTATTTGTTGCATGTTTTATTAAAGCACCTGTTTAATAATTAAGGAGGGTATATAATTATATGTAAGGCTACTGAATAATTCGTATTGCAGTATTTATTAACACCGTATTGAAAATACAACCCCTCTCATACGAGGTTTTTTCAGGATTACTTCATGGGACTTTATAGGCAGAGGGAGCCACTGCCTCCAATTTACTGCTGGGGAAACTGAGGCACGGGAAGGGCAGATGCCTCAGGGGACTAAATATGGACTTAAGCATCAAACCCAGGACTCAAGACCCAGCACAGAGCTCCAGCCATCAAACACTGCAGCCGCCTGGCACATTTTGCAATCCTCTGTAACACTCCCAACCAAACACAACCTCTGTGAACAAAGCAATAAACTCCCTGGCAAAAGGAGTGTGGAAAACTAATCCTTATTGCTCTTGCCAGCATTCAGTAGGCAGTTATCGACCTCAGCATTCAAAGAGACAGGTCCCAGATCCTCTGCGCAGATGATATTTAAACACAAGGCCTTAAAAGTTATCTGGGAAAACTCGCTGACTCAGGAAAAGGAGTGTTTCACGTTTAGGCTGAACCCAATAGCACGTGATGTGACGTAATTTACTGTTCATAACACACAACTCAAGGGCCTGCAAGCTGTGAAACATTTAAATCAGCAATGAGGGTGACTTTGAATGCTGTTACTGAAACATGGTGGAAAAGCCTTCAGCTAAAGGGACAGGGAGTTTGCAGTTGTTCTGTTCCTTGCCAGCCCCGAGAAAACTAGCCCTAAAGGGAGTGGGTTTCTGCTTAAATGCAAGAATCTCAGCCCAGTTTTTCACTTATTTATTAATTATTTGCAGCAGTAACCCCCAGACACAGGGTAGGACCGGACAGGGGTATAAATGTAGCTGAAAAAAATGTAAACCTGTAACAACTGATCTCGTCCAAGGCAACACTTGCTCCTAACTCTTGCTTTTCATTAAACGCAGACCCAGTACCTGAGCTGAGAGCTACAGACCAGGGTTCCATCAGCACCTGGTAAACACAACACGAGAGCTGCAGGTTGAAATGGCGCAGGAGCAACAACTGCATGGGGCTAGGAGGAGCCTCGGCTGTGGGCGCAGGAAGGTGGGCACATCACAGGCTGGAGGAGATTTGCTTCCCAGCTCTCCTTGACAATAGGGAATTAGCCACCCCGTGCTGAGCTGCCCACTTTTTTTACCTGTGAGGCTTGCATGTGGCATGAGCTTTGTTCTGTCCTTGCTATGAATTCAGAGTCAACACATACAAAAATCTCTTCCAAATTGGATTTGAGAAAATCTAGCCCATCCTCTGCCCTCAGCATCCCCCAAATACCACAGTGCCTTTGTGCAGATCTTTACACAAAGATCCTGGTAACTGCTGATTAGTGTCAGGTGAAGGACACATTTTTTGCTCCGGTCTACAGCGTGTGTCTCCCATGGAAATTAAAAGAAATTGATTTTGTGCCACCTCCCCTGCCAACAGGACCTGTTCCCCCTCAGTGACAATCTCGGCTTTCTTTGTGGCAGCAGTTTCTAGCCCTGTTGCATCCAAACTTTTCCACGGATGATCTACTTCCTAGAGCACTGCTGGGTTCATTTCATTTCATAGCTCTATTCCTAGGAATGTACTTGTAAGGGGTTTGTGACCCCGCTGGCTAAGGGGACCTCTAATTTGGGAACTATTAATCCAGAGGTCACAGCTCTGGTGTATGAGACAACATCGAGACTGGCTTGACCCTACTTTCAACTGGAGACCTGGTGATGCCAAGGTTGATCTTTATGGGGAACCTAATCCTGGTTTCTTTCTTGGAAAAGTGAGACCTTTTTGGACTATACCGATGTAGTAGTGAGGGAACAATTCATGGGAAGCTCTACTGCCTTCTGGAAAACAAAGAAAAGTGGCAGGTCCTGCCTTAATGTGCTTGCTTCCACAAGGCTGACGTTGGAGCAGGTCTAAATCACCATGATGCTGCAGAGCACAGAGGCTTAGTTCAGTCAGCCCAGCTGGATCCAAACCTGCCACTGTGAGACAGCACCACAAAACCAGCCTCAGGACTGCAAACTGACATATAAAATTCTGCTTCTGTTAATGGTGTGAGATGGAACTTGTAGAAAAGTGCTCAGATCACCTCTCTCGGGCTTCTTAGTTCATTTACCCAGCTGGTGCTTCCCACGCCAGCCAGGCTGGCGACAATGCACCATTGCTCAAGATGTACCATTTCCCCAGGTAATGACAATGACACAGAGCCTGGGTCTTCTCCTGCCTACTGGGAAGCAGCTGAGCCCATGGCCATGGGCATGCAGGAGAACCAGTTTTGGGTGCCAGTCACATGCAGGAGGAGTCATGCCAGTCACTCCAAGAGGAGTACATGTCACAGCCAACCTCAGAGAGGTCCCCAACATAGAAACCTTCTAAAAATCCAGTCCTGCTTGGCACTGATCTCCCTGTGCTGGGAACCCCCAAATTTACATGCTGCAGATGAAGCCAAGTGGTAGAGTCCAACCACTGACACTTCTTGGCTTATTCTTATGATCTTACTGATTAACCATGCCCAGCACACCCCAAAGACCTTCTCTTTGAGACATGGACCATGGAGCCACCACGCCCTGCGGAGAGGGCAGTGACAGAGGCAGGCAGACGTCTGGGGCATGGCCCTACCCCTATACAAGGAGCCCTTTCGATTCACCACACTGCTGCTCCCCCTATGTAGAGGTCCTTGCACATCATTCAACCTTATTCCATCAGATGCACAAACCTAAGGTCATCACTGTAGAGAAACTGGCAGAGCACATAGCTCTGCTGCGCCATAGTGATCAAAATGTGGTTTCTCACCTCCTCTCTGATCTCCTCCTCCCCTCTCCTCAGCAAGAAGCTTGGCAAAGCCATGGGTGTCACTGTTTGGGGGCAATACTGCTGTGGTTACCAGGACATAACTTGGAGCTCTG